TCGAGACGGAAATGAATGAACATTAAAAAGTTGAATTAGTAACATAAAAGCAGATATTTCAACACAAATGGGTGATGGTGACTTTACAGCCACAACTGTGGAGGATACACTGAGTGAACATGCCATTAGCAAAGCTGAGGAGCTTGTTAGAGACCCTTTAAAAGATGAAACCTCAACGTTCAGAGCAGAGATTTGAGAAATCTGACTCAAAAGATGACACTGTTGCAGAGGGACAAACAAGAGAGAAAACTCTGGCAAAGGAGTTCACTTCCACCATTCCAAAAGCTGCAGCAAGTTGTGTTGAAGCAGTTTTGGCAGTTGCCTCTGACTGCGCAGTAATTGCGTCAGAGCTGGGAGTAGGTGAAGCAATTACTGAAGACAACAGTAAAGGAGCTGCAGACAAGTCAGCTGATGTAGTGCTGATTGAAACCGCTGAACCCGAATCTAATGCTGTCACTCCTGAGACCGGGGAAGCAAATGACATTACCTCCCTAGACAAAGAGGCAGTGACTGGAGTGACGGAAACAATCTCTGAGGTTGTTCATGAGAAGCCAAACTCCGCGGCCGCAAATGAAGACATGCCTGTAAAAGAAGCTGCTGTCCGTTTTCAGAATGGAAATCTAGTTAAGGTGGATCTGGCCCATGAGGAGGTCACTCCTGATGATGCACCACAGCTGAAGATGTGCTACAAATAAGTGAGCAAGACAATATTAGCCCTATAACTACCAATGAGTCTGGAGAAATGTTCGGTAGTTGTCCCAAAGAAGAAATTAATATTGCAGGAGCCTGAAGTTACTTTAAAATCTCCAGCAACTGAAGTCAATCCACATTGTATTCTAGAGATTATTATAGTAGACATCGAAGTTGAAGAACATGTGATAACTGAGATAGAAACAGAATCAAGAATTTGAACCACGCTTCAGGAGCCTGCAGTGGATAACAACAGCACCGTCAAAGAAGAGGACACAGCTTTTGTGCTTCTCTCTGGAGAACATGAAGAGCGTCTTTCCCATTCAGAACAAGCTTTTTCAGATCAAGCTTAAACAGTGGCAGACAGTGTTGAGGAAAATACTTCAGTCCAAGGTTTATCTACTGAAGGAGAGGTAGCGGTTGCAAGTTCTGAAAAAGCTGCAGAAGAAAGTGACATAGAAAAGGAAAAGGTTAAGAATCTAAAGATAATGAAAGCCATGACACACCTGAGCAAACCCTTGTAATCTTAGAGGAAGCAGGACGAGAACCCAAGCCCTTTGTAAAGAAGATGGTAACAGTGAGGGTTAGGTTTAGTTTTTGTTTTTGTTTTTTTCAGAAATCCTACAAATAATTAAAACAAACTTGAGGAACTAACAACTGAAGGACACCACAGAAGATTTAGAGCCTTGTGTTTTAGTCTAAGAAGAATACTGAGGAGAATACTGCCCTGGAGAATGCTGATCAAGGATAGATGCTGTCATGTGTGATTTATATGTGAGCCTTGGGATTAAATCCTAAAAAAGAATAATCCAACCTTGTTTTTGTTTTATTTCTCTAAATAGCGTGGCAGAGATAGTAGAGAACAAATAAAAACGAGTCACTATTTCTCATCCTTGAGACAACTGAAAATGAACATTTCACCTCTGAAGATTCTTAAATTGCCGTCTGATGAGCCCGTGGCAAAGTGTGCCGATGCACTCCCAGGCCAGAAGTTGAATACACCTGTAGGTGGAGAGTGATACTGAAGAGACGCATGAGAGGCAGTGCAAACCGGATAGATTCAACATGTGATGTACAGAATTTCCCTAAGGCGTCTCAGTCACAAGCTCAAACATTGAATGTTTACCTCTTAGGTTTTAGTCACCTTTAGCTGTTGAGAAAAACAACAAGCCTGGTGACTGAAAGATAATTTCACCAGTCCTCCGTATTGTTGACATCCACGAGTCTTCAAACAAACAAATAAATTATGAATGAGCAGTGATCAATAAGCAGACACCGAAATATTAATTTGAAGTTTCCTTTTCTCATTCATTCATGATTTC